AGGGACGGGCCGGGATGGCGATGGGATAAGCGCGGATAGGGACACGGATGGAGGGGGCGGGCGACCAGGCCCCGCCCCGCTCCGGCCCGGCCCGTGCGCGCGGAGCTGCGCGTCCCGCCGCGCGGGATCCGCTCCAGCGGTACCGGGGAACCGGGACCTCCCCGCCCGCCTCTGTAGCGCCGGGGCAGCGGCCGAACGGGCGGCCTGGGCCATCTCTGCAAAGGTCCTGCCGAAAGTTTAGCCAAAGTTTAGCTCTGCGGAGCAGGAGCGCCCGAGGCATCCTATGGAAAACACAGCGTATGGAGCCCACCCGAGCGTCGGAACACGGCCCGCATGGCGACAGCGGTACTGGTGGCAGCGGCAATACTGCACATCCCAGCACTTGTGGATTGAAGGCCTGCCAACCATTGCATGGCTTTAGAATTGAGACTTTCATAATGAAAACACGCTTCATTTGCCTAATATTAACACCTGAAGCTGTTGCATGTTTTTCACTGAAGAAGTGCTCTCTCAAAGACAAATCAGCAACTAACCAGAGACAAGCATGTCGGAGATGAGGGAGATGGACCCGCACCTTCTGCTTTTATCCCTCTTGTGATACAAGGTGTAACTGAAAAAAAAATACTATAAACAATAGCTTAAATGTTAGCAATTCATGTAAAATTATTAAAAACCATGTGGAAGAGTGTGGAAATCTGTGGATTTTTACACCTTGGAAAAGTTATTTGAGGACCAAGGGCATAATCCAAAACAAAAATTAGTGCTGAAAACAGGATTCGTGTCCTTGAGATACTCTTATATTAATGTCATCTAGGCACTTAATTTTTTATCTTTAACGACTCTATGGGTCTAACAGATGTGCTTTTTTTGGAGCCACAAAGGAAAAGAAGGGGAGAAGAAGGGAAAATCTGACCTTGATGCTGCAATTGTAAGAACTGGATGCTTTTGTTTGGAGCTCAGCATAGAAAGCAAACTGTGTGTTATGTGCCCAGATCCTTTCTCCAGTTAGTTGGAAGACCTCATTCCTCCTGGACCAGCCAGCACACACAGCTGTGACAGAGGGAGGGTGAACCAAAGAGAAAGATCTACCCTCGGTCCAAGGGGCTCCTAGAGAGCAGAAGGCCCAAGAAGCAGAAATTGTGAAATGGGCAAAGTGGACTAATGCGGTGAAGAAGCTGCACATGCAGTAGGAGAAACGGGAAAGACCTTCTATTTTGGGGGGGCAATTACTCATGACCTATTTTCTCCCACCACTTCTGTCAGGTCTGCGGGACTCAGCAGTGGACAAACTTGAATGCAGACAGGATGATTTGTGCACACATCCATAAGCAGCCTCTGCTCACCCTTCCAAGAACTAGCCTTTCTTAAGTAACTTAGGACTGAACTACCCAACAGTGAATAATGCCATGACTGAGATTATATCACAGAGGTTTGTATCTTAGCTTCTTAAAATGAAACTGGTACAAAACTAAAATAAGAAATTGGGCCTGTGAAGAGCAAAGATGTTACAGCTATAATTATAAGGTAGAAAAGCAGACAAACAAGTCTTTAGAAAGAGGTCTGAAACAAATGCAGTCTCCCTGCACATCTCAAACAACAACCCTTGTATCTAGAGATACAGAGAATGTGTAATTAACAAGCTGCAAAATAAGAATGCATCAAGATGGCATTAAAACATGAGAGATGCAAAACACACATCATACTGTCACCATCAAAGAAATGACAGATTTATCCAATAAAGTCTGAAGATTTTATTAAAAGACACGGCAGCGACCAGCATTTTGGGATACCGCAGAGGGCACATTGCTAGTGTAAAAGTGCAGGATGGGAAGCAAGGAAGCTGCTGCCCTCCAGAACCTGAGGTAAAAATCCACATTTGAGCCTCACACACATACACGGGGCTCTGAGAAGTCACTCTCCAAGTCACCTCCGTGAAAAGCAGATTAATGTATGGGCCACGAAACAACACTGTTAGATGGAAACCGAGTGCTCCAAAGAGGAGGGAGCACCTCAGAGAAATCTTAAGAAGCATTTTGGTATCAACAAGTAAACAGTGGCAGTGAAGAATGAAAAGAGTTTTCAAAAGAAGGATATAAAGAAGAAGCAATGAAAGGAGACAGCCAGCAAGGATTGACTTCTAATGTAGGAGCAAAACAGACTAAGAGAGAGAACTATGATAAAAAATAAATACAGCTTGTACTTGCAACTGCAAGTTCATAACTCAGAATTTGACTAGCAACTTTTGCATTTTCTTGTCATTTTTCTTAGTCTCTTCTAAGCCAGTTTCATTTTAAACTGTTCCTGGAAAAATCAAGCTTTGTCCCCAGGAGAGAACAGGTCTGAAAACTATCCAAAGCACTGCATTCAAAGTGATGGATAGGGCCAAGAGATCTCCTGTCCCTAAAGGGATGTTAGAAAGGTAATTCCACAGCCCCGTGATTTTACTTTCTGGTTCAAGTGCATACAAAGTACAGAACTAAGTGGAAGGTTTTGGCATCAGATGGTTGTATCATTTATCTAGTTTATTACAGAAAAGCTACAATCTGAGATTATCTCTGCAGTTATCTTAGTAAAGCACCTTTAAGTTAGTAAGTCACACCTGCTTTCCCAGTTAACTCACTCATTTTGTGCAGTTATTGAAAAGAAAATACAGCTTTTGAATTATAAATTGAATGTTTATATATCAAGATTTCACATGAGTTTTAGTAGCTTAAAATATCAGCTCCTGATTCTAAAATACTAATAAAAATAATATTCCAAAGGAACAGAAAGTTTAAAGAACCCTTTTAAGTCTTACAAAAAGTGTTCTTCAAATATATCTCACTTAACTGCTCGTGACTGTTTTAACTTGACCACAAGCCTATGAAATATGAGACTAAACTAGAATGAACATTTTCTCTCTCTTTCTTTATTTCTTTTTTAACTAAAAATACTTAAAATAGCACCAATATGAATTTAGAGGCCCATCTGGCAATAATATGACATTAAAGTGTGCATCACCTTTGCCTGACTTCATGTATGTATGAAAGCCTATAATCAGGGCCTCTTAAACTTCAACCCTAATAAAAAATCTTCCATAGACTTTTTATTTTCAAGGAATCAGGACAAATGTTGCTGAAATTCTACTCTTGCTGTCTGGAAATAGTTTCTCCTTGGTTGCCTCCCTTTAATTTATCCTCAACTTCAATCAGAACATTTCTGTGCGTTACCGCCCCAGTCCTGCTATTATGGAGCTGATCCAGCCTGCTGCTAAGTGCTCGCCCTTCCACAGGAGTGCCGTGAATCCACTCATTTCAGTGGCATTTGGGATGCTCAGCACCTTTCACTATCTAGCACTGAATGAATCATTTTGGTTATATTCAGAGTTCCTTTTCCAGCCCACCCAGTAAGACATTACATTTTTTTCATTCACGCATTGGTAATTATAGCTATAAACAAAACCCATAGGAACAAAAGATTAATAGCGTTAGCAAGCATTTCCAGGGTATAATCAGCCATCATGCCGCTATTACGCAAAAGGTCCAATGAGTGGCTCTGAAATTGCAACAGTTCTATTCCTTTACTCAGGCTGAGCAGCAAGACATAATGTCCATGAAAAGCCGAGCTAAGTTTCTGTCTGCGGTCCAGCCTGTGGCATTTATGTCATGATGGCTCCAGCCCCAAGGTCTAATTCGGCACTGCTGAAGTCAGGGGGAGTTACAAGAGAATAAATGCTACTGACTGCAGTGCTGACCTGGCCTTGCATGAGAAGCTTAAAACCTCCCTCGCTGCTTCTGTTGGACACAAAGGTCTGATCCCCATTTTTTGCTCTCATTGCGTTCATTTTTACATGATTTATACAGGCAAAAGGGGAAAAAAAAAAAGAGAAAAAAGAGAATTAAACTCTGCAGGGTTTATCTTGCAAAGCCTGCTAGACAGGGCTGATCTCATAAAAAAATAAGTCCTATCACCCAACAAACTATAAAATCCTTCCCCAAGCCTCAAACAAGAGGTGATGAAATACACAAATAATCATGACTAATTTAAAGCCTTGCCCTTGCTTAGGGATGAAAAAAGAGCTTAATGGAAAAGGAATTGGCCCTCCCCTCCAGCCCCCCCAAAAAGCTGAAAGAAAAAAAAAACTTAAATGTTTGCCGTGGGATTAATAGGAACCAGCAGAAAAATGTGTTTATAAAATTGTCTGAAACTGGGAGTCAATGTGAGGGTTTGTGTCTATGTCAACAAACCATCGCAATGTAAAAAATGTTCCTCTGAAGTAAGACTGTGGTATTAAGCAGACTGAATAGTGTCAAATTTGTCTGACCAGTAGAGATGGGCAGGTCAGTGTTTTATATTAGTTCACTCTAGAATCTGTTCTTTTGTGATTTCACAAACCTGGTAGAGAATCATCCAGGGACAATTTGGAAAAATCACGGGGGCAGTCAAGCCTGTCCCACAAATATTTCCCCATGGGAAGACATCAGATTTTATATTCTCTGTTACTGGAATGGCTTTGGTCTAAGCTGCTTTTCCTGACCCTGCTCTGAAGGTTTATGACTGTACTGCCTGTCCACAATGATCTCATTCTCTCCAGCTGACTTATATAAGAAAAATAGAAACTGCTGTCTGACAAAAGCTAATTTTGACAGGTATGTCTTTTCAATAATTGTGTTTTAGTCATTAAAAAAAATCAACATTAAATTAGCCTTGTTTCCTACCTTCTGTAGAACGTAAACAAGGAAACCCAGATGGACATAGAGCATCTTCTGCCAGGATTTCTGGAGAACTGGGTTCTAGGTAAAAAGAAGGGATGAGGCTGATAATTTCCTCATTCCTTCTAAGGTCTCTTCTCAGAAAGTCTTCCAGTTTTTCAGCAGGCACTGGTTGAAAAGGTGATCACAAGAAAGCTGAAGAAAAGCAAAGAGCCACCAATCTTTCTTAATTTAGTGCCTCTCTGGTTGGTCAAAACATCATATGGCTTTGCAATACCTAACTATTTTGCCTTTTGTCAAGAAAACCTTTTCAGGGAAAAAGGAGTGGTAGCCAGTAAAAACAAGGCATGGAAAATAGAAATAGGATCATTAAATGAACAGTTAAATGCTGTTAGCAGGATAGTTGAAGTTTTAGCAGCCTGCCCCTGACACAAATATGAAGCAAGAGAACTTCATGGTTGAATCAGTAGGAAAAAGTGGGAGTGTTTTGCTTAGAAATGTTAAGCATCATCTCTGAGGTTACTTTCTCATTCTCTTCTCTGTCTTACATTGCACTTGCATGCAGTTTTGATGGAAAGGGATATGAAGGAAGCTGTATTCAGATCACTATTGGAAAAAATCTCTGCAAATCAGCATTACTAGTTGTTAACCCATACTGCTGTACACGATCGCTTAACTTAGTTACTGCATCAAGGTAAATGTGAGCTGATGAATGGATTCAGTTCTTCAGCACTAAAACAGCTGGGAGTGGCTGAAACAATGAAGTAGTTTTAAGTTTCGGGCAACTTACTCTCAAAGTGCAACATATTCAGACTAGATGTTTCTTCTCATTTGTCCCTCTTAGGCCAGCAAGCAAAAGACATGCCTCTGAGCTGGGAGCTCTGCTGTTCTCAGCTTACGTGGGAAGGGGCACAGAGTGAGCAAGCTCTGAACAGCAGTCCAGTTCAGATAATATGCCCCTGCCTGCACTCAGAGCAAGCAATGGGCCTCTCAGTGCTTCCTATCTGCTGTTCAGGAGTGACTGGAATCTACTGAGAATCTCCAATAGAGCCTCAAGAGGACTCTTAAATTGGAAATTTAATTATTTTTTAACACATCACACAAAATCATTTTAACTTTGCAATCACATTACACAGAAGTGAGAATGGCAGCTACTTTGAATCTTCCTAAATTATTTCTGAGAGATTGCAGTTAGTACTCCTTTAGTTTGGTTGCTCAGGAAGATGATGTCTTTACAAACCAAGGCAGTTCTGGTGAGTTGGCTGTCTGGCAAACACTGACAGTACATTTTGCTCTGAGCTTAAGGAGAGGAGTTTCAGAGATCTGTCTGCTTCACTTCCAGATAATCCAAAATCTGTAGTGTCCAAGATGCATTGATTTTACACTAGTTAATGGGAAGGAATGAAAACCCTTATTTACAGAAAACTAAACAAGCTTCCAGTATGTGTCAGAAGGCAACCAGCTGCTCCACAAGGAAATCGTGATCAGTAGCAGGAATTACAGATAGTGCAGCACAACATCAGTGCTGTGAACAGCAAATCATAAAAATTGTGGGCAGAAGAATCAGCAATGACCAGAACCGCATATACCTGAGCATCATATGCCAAAGAGCCTGAGTGACTGTATTTCTACTGTTCCCTTTTCCTCAGTTTTTCCTCAGTCCATCAAGGGGATATGCTGCACATTATATAAAGACTATACCCCCAAATCATTTTCACTGGTTTTAGCAGACCAGAAATCACAATCCTTATACAGATATTGGGTTGTAGTACCTATGCATCATCAGATAGACTGTGCAGGAGTCTCTGCCCCTGGAGAGATAAAGGAGGAGGGAAACGTGGCAGGCTCAGAGCTCACATCCACAGGACATTCCTAGTAAGTGGCCAGGTAACAGCAATCCTGTTGTCAGTGTAAAAATGGACTCTGCAGCGAAAGAAACACAGAGGTTCTTGTAACTCTATACTCAGCTAAGAATATTCTTGCCATTGACTTGTTGAGTTGACCTTGTAGCCTCTATATCACACCCTGTCAGGTGACTACCTAGCAAATTATCATCTTTGCAAAAACATTACTTACAGGAAAATGTTATTAATGGGTCTCTCAAATTGAGCTTCTATTCTGCCTGCTAGAATTTAGAATGCTGTTGAAATAAGGCATTCTAAATAGTTGTATACTTATACCAGAATACAATATAGCTCATCTGCATGTTTCCCTCACACTTAGTAGGACATGTTATTCTTATTTATTTCTATATTTCAGGACCCAGAGTTTACCGGGTATAGGAGAAAAGGAAAAAATCAGTAACACTGCTGTTGTTACACGGTTTGGAAAGGATAAGTTTTTAAAAGACAGTATGCATTAAGCTACTGAGTTGTTTCTAACCAGATATATTTGAGACAAATTATTGAGAAAGAAAAAATCCTTTATGCCATACATTCTTATATTATTTCCCTTCCATCAATCTTCAGTTGCAAGATGTTTTTTTTTCTTCATATTTTCTACCAAAACTATGCTTTCTTTCAAAATTAGCCCATGCAGTGTAACCAGGGCTATATATTATCCCAGTCTCAGTATAAATCACTCTTTTAAAAGCTCTGCAGGTCAGCATGTATGTCATTGTGTTTTATGACAGGAACATGCAACTATCTTTAGCTCAGTCCCCCTTTTTTGTGTGTATTATCTTTTGTTCTGCCAACTCTATTTCGAGATGACTCAACCATCTAAGTCCCAACTCTATTTGGAGATGACTCAACCATCTAAGTCAGCCAGTCTGCTCCAACCTGGAATACAGTTCAGAACCATCCACACACATTTCCAAGCCTTTGGTAAACTTATTCAATCATGAATACAACGTTTCCAGTCATGCGGCCTTCATCTTTTTTCAAGATGCTGTTGAAGGTGTTACTTCATCAGATTCAAGAACTAGGTCCCAGGCCTGCAGATTATTTAATCAGTTCACTTTCTATGTAATTTTACACTAGTCAACTCAATTGTTTTCACCTAAATTGAGCACAGATCAAAATACTTGTTGGATCACACCCCTAGAGATTAGTGGCATCTGAAAGACTCCAAACTGCCAGATATTATAAAAATCATGGTTTTCAGGTCTCGAAATAGAGTCCATGCAAGTCATTTTGAAATTGCAGGAACTAGGAGCTATTACAAACATCACTATTTTCTCATCCAAACACAGGACATTGTTTTTAACCTTGCCTTCCTAAATAACACATCAATTCTATAAAACCTTTGAAAACATTTCAAGCAAACGAGCAGATAAGTGAACTGCTTTTTGCCAGAGGGCAACATTACAGAACACCAGTGGATTATTATTATTATTTTCATTGAAATTATTTTGATTTTGTTTCACTCTGGAACAATGTCAGACACACTGTGTACAGCTCTGCAGTGACAGCCTGCAGAAGCATAATGAGTCATACACAGGCTAGCAGTAGATTAGCAATCCGAGTGATGATGTTAAGACTAAGACTTTTGCTAAATATTTACTGAGTCATTGAGGATTCTCTAATCATTATTTAAATCTGTGAGAACTTAGCATTTCCACAGAGTATTCGTATTAACCACTCTTAAGATCCAATCCTCTATAGATGACAGCGGCAACCTCTCCTGGCCTTCCAATCTAAACAATAAAAATCACTTAGAGAACAAAATATTACTTTTAAATTGTACCATACCTGAAGTAACTACCAAACCCAGAGAGAGCACTGTGTAAATCACAGAATTCAAGAAAGAGTTGCATACACTAAAGCTAGGCTTCCACAAAATCTCTATTTTCCTCTTTCTGGTAATTTGTGTGAATTTTTTCCAAATTACAATCAGAGAAGATGAGGATTCTTGTTGTTTTGGGAAGAGCAAGTCTTTTAATCCTTCTCTTCCTACCTCCCTTCTGCCATTCACTAGCAAACCCGCTTGCTGCCTACCAAGATACATTTGTTCTGTTGAATCATTACATTTTTCCAGGCTTTACTAAAACTAGATGGAAAGTGTTGCAACCTTTATGCCATTGGGAAACAACGTCAAAAATTTTATACAGAAAAGACAGGGTGAGTACAGGAAGAGGAGAGGAGGGCTTGGGGTCATCAGACAGTTACTTCTCAAACATAATTCTAATGTTTTGTTCCCCCTGAGCTTGAGGACTATAATTGAGACCTCTGATGGTACAGCTGAATATAAGCTTCCATAAACAAACGCTGTGCATTTGAACACCACTGCACGTAGCCCATCCACACACTTTTTCCACTCTGGCTGCTTCTCCTTGCAGCCAATTGGGGCAGTTGCCTTGGCCTTAACTCTGCTGTCGTTTACACCACGCTTCGGCCCAACTGCAGTGAGGATGAAGCTACTGATTAAATGTCCACAATTTTAAGGCAGCAGGCCAAGAGCCTCAGATGAGGCTCACTTTCTTTTTAAAAGAACCAGCACTCCCAGGCTGACCTTCAGAGCACAGCCCTGCTAATGAGCATCTACTTGGCATCTCCAAGACGGGGAGATTTCTGCAGCCCTGCAACTATTAGTACCTCTGATTGCATTTGAAGTAGCATAGGCAGGGACTTGTTTTACAATCACCATATCTATCATTTATTCCTTTTCTTTCCAACTCATGGAATTTCTCCAAAATGAGTCACAGAAGTCAACTGCTGCCCAGTCACCTACAGGAAAGATGGATTTTCATTTTATATGTATTTTTAGGAAAACACTTCTGTCACGCCATACATCTCAATGACTAAATTAGGTCATTCCTTTCCCCTTCATCCCCTTTTGCACTGCAGAGGAAAAAACAGGCATGATTTATCAGACTGTCATTATCGAAGAGGTTTGTTTTTGAGTTTGTCCATTCCCTTCTAACTCCACACAAATCTCTATCTGTGATTGCCATCAGTTTGGGACTCCATAACTGGAGAGCATGACTAGGCAGAGAAAGATTTGGATACCTTGGTGAAAAAGGCATTGAAAAACACCTAATTTAGGTGATGGATGGGTGATAGCAAGAGCAAAACTCTGTGACATCATCTCTTTGGGGCCTACAGGAAAATATTTGGCAGATAGTAAAGATTCACAAAACAGGTAGTAGCAAATTGGGTTTGTTTCTCCACATACATATAACCAGAGGTGACTGTGGGCAATGAGCTTTTGGAAAATGACCTTATGTCACTGGTCAATGAGACATGTGGCCATCCTGCATAACACTGAGGTCCTCCCCACATGGGACAATGCGTTTTTCTCTTTAGCAATGATAAAGAAAGGGAATATTGCTTTTAAGGGGATAATTCCTGTGAATCATTTTCAACCTTCTGCAGAATTTTGCCTTACTTTTGCCTTAAAGACTAATTCTTGTACTAAAGCTTCTTGAAGCATCCCCTGTGTAAACTTTTAAATCTGAGAAAGTCACCTTTTACTCACCTATAAGTGAGAAACTAATGGGGATTAGTCAAGGGAAGC